TCTTATGTTATTTCACAAAAAAATGAATGGAATGGAATAGATCAACGTCTCCATTAATATCAAAGTCAATGGAGAACAAGCAAAAAAAAAAAACTATACTGTGATATGAATTGTCACAGTGCATGAAAGAAAAACAAACTGCAAGAAGAAGACAAGATAATTATAATTAACCTTATTTAGCTAAAAAGTTCCTCTTGCACTATAGATAAGGCCAATTTGAATTGAAATGTTGGTTCAACAAAATATTTTTTCTAAAACCAACACAAAACTAGAGCATAAAGAAATTACAAAGACTACAAAATATCTTAAAAATCAAACTAAATATCCAAAATTCTAGAATCACAGTCATGATCATTTATATTTTTATGCTCCTATGAGTTCCATAGTGATGCATTGTGTAGGACACACCATGAGCTCTTTCAAGTTGACACATGCCATGCAAGGTTAGTCTTCACAAGTAAACTTTACTTCCATAATGTTTGTACCTCCTTTAGGCAAAGAGATGCAAAATAAAAATATTATGTGGTTATGTGCATCTCTAAAGTGTAAAAGAATTCAACCATGAGTACTTACAGGCTAAGCCAAAATCATAGCATAGCACCCCTTGCCCAGCTTTGAGGCATTTATGAATAGAATTCTTGTCCATAGCTCAATTCAAACAGGTTAAATCTAAAACAGGAGAAATGTGTCCATTAAAAGTTCAATATGAATCAAACCACCTAATTTCAGATAGATCCAATAAGTGTCCAAATTTGTTTCGGGTTTTAAGTCATCCAGATGTTTTCAAAGTATGCTAAGCTTTCAGTATTGATACATCATTCAAATCGCCACTAACCATAAAAAAACATAATTTTAGCTCAGAAAGGGACTCAAGAGCAAACAAAGAGAGTGGAAACTTCTCCAACAATTCAATAATTGAAGATGAAAATGCTTAACCTAGCAATCCTAAATCTTGTATCAAAATTTATAGCTTTTTTCTGTGATACAATACGTCAATATCTTTCCAAGCAGGATAACTCGTGCATTGAGAACGCTCTCTTTGCCCTCCAGCTTCTAGATTCAAAAGCAGTTGAGCAAAGAAGAAGAAAAAAAGTAAACAAATATGCCAATCAACCAAGTTCAATGAAACCTTCATTACATGTGCCAATCAAGGCCGAGCACGGCGGTTGAGAACCTAACGGAGAGGGCTTCAAAGAGAAAAGCGGAGAGCATGACGATAATGGAAGCGATAAAGGGAATTGCTGCACGGAGCTCCACCGTCCAATTGCGGTAGAACGGTACACGTGAAAAGGCGGCGAGGGCGAGCACGATCCAGAGGGCGGGCTGCAGACGCTGGTGCCATGAGGGGGACAAGTATCGGAGGTAGTCGATCGAGACGTAGGAGATCGCTGCTAGGCCGAGACCCCCCTTTGCTGTCAGCAGGCTCCGTGAAGAGCGAGCGCCACTGTCATTCCTCCCCATCGGCATT